GCTCAGAGAGCACTAAGGACCCCACAATCATCATCTCCTCCTCCTCCTCCTCCTCCTCCTCCTCCTCCTCCTCCCTTCTAGCACTGATGACGCTACCTATTTGGGTAATGAAATGTTTGCAAGAAAACAAGCAAGCTCAGAGAGCACCAAGGACCCCACAATCATCATCTCCTCCTCTTCCTCCTCCTCCTCCTCCTCCCTTCTAGCACTGATGATGCTACCTATTTGGGTAATGAAATGTCTGCAAAAAAGCAAGCAAACTCAGAGAGCACCAAGGACCCCCTCAGAAAACCCACTCCCCCAAACGTTCGTATCTCAACAGCAGGGAAACTGAGGCTCGGTGTCAGCAAATGAGACCTTTTTTTATTCCTCTAAAGTCGGGTGGCTCCAGGGTACTCAAACTCCGCAAAGAGTTTGGGGAAAATCCCCGTCCTTCCGCTGCATCGGCCTTCCAGCCATTCCGCGTTCACTGTGGAAACACAGAAGATTCAGGGTGAGGGGGGGGGAAATCCCTTGAGAAAGAAAATCAGCCTGGATCCCTCTCTTCTAGGATGGATCGCTATAATCCAGGGTGGCAAAAATCCGCTTAATTTGCACGCTTTTTAATCTTGTGCAGGGGAAACCTCGACTTACAAACGGTACACTTAGTAAATACACGCCCGTGGCCAGCCATCCGAGTTTTGATCGCGGGGCCAAGGGGAGGCTGTAAGGGTTGTAAAGCCTGAGGACTTTTTGCAAATCGCTTTTACAGGGCGGTTGTGACTTCAGAGGTTTGCTCATTGAATCGTTGTAAGTCGAGGACGGCTGCCGTAGTATTCTCAAGCTCTGGAAACAGGACACCGAACGGATTGACATGCCCTCAGCAAATGCCCCTGTTAGGACTCGCGTCCCGTCTCCTACCTTCGGACAGGACCTCCAGAACGTCCCCATCTTTAAAATTCAGGTCTTCCGGGGCGTCAGAGGTGTAAGAACATTTTCCCACCATGCGGTAAAGGACGGCTCGATCCGCTCGTTCTTCTTCACCCTTGGAACGTGCAAGTGGAGTGGTTAAAGGAAGAAAATGGCCAACGCTATTTTGCTTCTGCTTTTCTCAAAAGAGCTCCCCGCCTGTAGAAAACCNAAAAAAAAAAAAAAGAGTCCTATTTTCATTTCTTCTCTTTGAGAGCAAAAAAAACCCCCACAACCGAGCAATTTTGCTGGCCAATAAATAAAAGCAGCACGGGGAGAAAGAAGGGGGGGGGAGAGGAGAAACTGCCTCTAATCTTTGGTGGAATTTAAACATATTCCTAAAGGGCTAAGCTGGGAAGGAAATGTTCCTTTGGGGTTGAAATAAACGCCAGCTCTCTAAATCATACTCATTGTTCTTTCTACAATGTTTGTATGTCCATTGTGGTTAGAATGGACTGTTTTAATCTCCTTCCCACTGTGGCTTCTCATATTTCCCAGCAAAGTTTGAGATACCTTATAGATATAACAACCTTGTTTCCTCACAATTGCTTCATTGTGGCTGCTTATACTTTCTGCATCCATCCATCCATCCATCCATCCATCCATCCATCCATCCATCTATCATCCATCCATCCATCCATCCATCCATCCATCCATCCATCCATCCATCCATCCATCTATCTATCTATCTATCTATCTATCTATCTATCTATCTATCTATCTATCTATCTATCTATCTATCTATCTATCTATCTATCTATCTATCTATCTATCTATCGCTTTATTTTCCATTTGTTTCATTGTAGCTTTTGATATTTCTAGCGAAGAAACCCCGTTGAAATGGACTAGATCTCATTTCCTATTAGGAAGCCGTGGAGAGGAACCTGTGGTTTCACCCACCCATTGCTGGAATTGCAATTTCAAAGAAGCCCTTCCAATGGGTTTGCACCTGTCAATCCCGATAATGGTTTTTATTTCGTGATGCTCAGATTTTTGCCTTTAGAGGCATGCTAGCACAAGCGACAGAGGAAGATAGGTTTTTTAAAAATAATAATAATAATAACTCAGTAGCTGTGGACTCCACTAGGGTTTTGTTTTTGTTTTTTTTGCCCGCCAAAAAGCCTCAGTTCGTTCGGTGCTAATATGATAGTAGTTTTAGGAGACATTAATAAAGAAGATTGATGTTCATGCAAACATTGGAAATATTAACTCCCCTTGAAAATTAACTCCAAGGAAGCTGGCTTTAGCTTAAAATAGTCCTGGCGTTATTTGGGATTAAGGCATGCCCTGTGAGTAGAACCAAGGGGCAGATGAAACCCCTCCTCATTTTCAAAAGAAAAGTCAAGTCCTAGAGTGGTTCTGTGAAAACAAGGCTTCTCAAGGCACTTGATTGTCATCCAACTCTATGATCATGACAGGAGATTTGGAAAGGGAGAGTGATGGATAACACACATAGACACACACACAAGGGCATCCATTAGACTAGACAATCCATCTTGGGTCTGACCTGGTCTCCAGATCTTTTGGTTCTCATGAAGAAGACTGGGTGGTGTCATTTCCGGTGGAGGTTCTGCGTTTCCTTGGAAGATCTTCTGCAAAAAGAGAGATGTATTTTCATTTGCCGAATGCCTTCCCAAAAGATGTGAGGTCCTTCCAGCTTTAAGCTTCTGCGGAAGCCAAGAGAACCCCAGATCAGCTAAAATATAGGCAACTGGGTAGGCAAAATAGGAGATGGGGAGGAAAAATTCACCCTAGAGACATTATTCATCCTCTTGAAGTCCCACTAGAGGGCACAAAAACACATAGTCTGTATCACTAAGGTAGAAGGCTCTATCTAAAAAGGGTTGGTATGACAAAAGATCTAGATCAGAGCTTCTGAAAGGCTAGCTTTTTAAGGAAAACTTTAGGAAAAGGGACCAAATGGAGATCTACGGTTGTAGGGTGCTTGGTGCTCTCTAAGCTTGGTGGTTTTCTTGCAGACGTTTCATTACCCAGCTAGATAACACCTTCAGTGCTGGAAGGGAGTGGGGAGGAGGAGAAAGAGGACCGTGGGGTCCTTGGGGCTCTCTGAGCTTGGTGGTTTTCTTGCAGACGTTTCATTACCCAGCTAGATAACACCTTCAGTGCTGGAAGAGAGTGGGGTTTGTAGAGAGGAGGAGGAAGGGGAGGAAAAAGGGAAGAAGAGGACCGTGAAGTCCTTGGTGCTCTCAGAGCTTGGTGGTTTTCTTGCCGACGTTGCGTTACACAACCCGGTAACACCATCAGTGCTAGGAAGGAGTGAAGTTTCTTCTCTGTTTACATGCAAGGCGTTGTGAAAATAAACTAAGTTAATGTTCACTAGACTCTTAGGTTGGGCAGTGCCATCCCAGCCCATTTGCTTCATCTAACAATCCATTCTGCAGGCCCAGAAAACAAGCCAAATCCAATAGCCAGATCACCCCTGTATGCAGCCGCTGCCAAAAAGAGAAGCAACACACCAATAAACGTAGTTTGCATAGTGAAATACTAGCTCTTAAGACAATCAAAATAAACTCAATTTTTTTTTTTATAATCACAGAATGTCAGACGTACCTTGGATTGGCCGAGGTAGTCCTTCTCTTTCAATTCTTTAGCCTGCAAAGGCGGCCTAAATATTTTCCCTGGTGGGACGCTCTTGGGGTCCAGCAAGAGACGATCCTGACACGAGACAAGAGGCAAAGACTCAGCTCAAAATGGGAGAAGAACGGAGTTAAGTTTTTAAGGTGGAATAAAACCATCTTGGGGCGGATTTGCCTGGCTGAAATTGCACACCCCCCCATTTAAACAAGATTGGCTCACCTCCACTTGCTTTAAAGCAGCCACGGTTTCTCTCTCGGGCATCTGCGTGGCTGCTTCTTCCAGAGTTTCTCGCGCTTCAGGCCATCTTCCAAGCCGGCAGTGGGTGGCTGCCGTGTTGTGCAAAACCTGTGGCCATACAGAAATTAGTCACGAGCTCCGGGGGTCACACAGAATTCTTTGGCAGAGAGAAGGTGAAAATTAGATCGGCTTGTTGTTTTTTTCATCTCCCAGCCACGGGCAACAGATCTCAAAAAGCTGTTCAGGTTTTTTTAAAAAAAAAAAAAAACCTGGGTTGTGGACTCCCAAGGGAACTTGGGCAAAAGTTGTAAACCGTTTTGCGGTGGAGCCACTAAATTGCAAAGATTTTCATCTGCAGCAGAGCCGAACGGTGATTATAAATAATAAAAAGGCTTTTTTTAAAAAAGGGTGCTTTTTAAAGTTTATGATACAGATGCCGGTATCGGGCTGACCCCATCTTCCATTCCCTTAGTAAATTCAAGAGTTTGGGGGCATAATTCCTTGCTACCTATCCAGAGGTCGCCTGACTGGGGATTCTAAGGTTTAGTAAAATACGATCTACGATAATATACGAGTAATCCTCCACTTTGCAACTGACACCAGAATTTCTATTGCTAAGCGAGGCAGTTGTTAAATGAGGTTGTCCCCGATTTTACGACCTTCTTTGCCACGTTAAGCAAATCACTGCGGTGGTTCCATGAACCATGAGGTCCTTAAGCAAATTTTTGTATGGTGGAAACCAACTGGGAAGATCCCAAAACGGGGGTCACGTGACCCCAGGATGCTGCAAGCATCCTGCACCCATGCTGTTGGCAAGCAACTGGATTTTGATCATGTGACCCTGGGGAGGCCGCAAGTGCAAGAACTGGTGTCTTGTAATTTCAAACAGTTGTTAAATGAGGGGTTGAAAGTCAAGGATTACCAGTAATAGATTACAAATTCCTTTCTCCAATGAAAACTGAGAAAATATCTCTCTTTTTTTTCCTTTTTCGTTTGGATGCCATTGAGGCCCACGTTGGAAGGGATGCTGCTAAGAAAGATGGGAGACACTCCCCCCCCCCATCATTTTGCTCCAAGGTCCCTCAATTCTTTCGTATCCCTCACCTCCGAGGCACGGAGCACAAAGGCCAAACCAAGCGGTTTGTAATTGATGCAGGAATTATTCCGAAGACAGCGCAGAGCCAGCTTCCCATCTTTCAAAGCTTCCTCATACCTGGGTGTCAGAAGAGAGGAGAGAAAGACGAAAAAGGGAAGGAAAATTTTTTATTAAGGTAGGGAACAATGTTGCGTTGATGATTTAGAGAGAGCGCGTTATCGGTAAACGTTGCGCTTTGTAAATTGTCCCGCGGTTGTTGGTTTCCACAGCTTACAATCAAAACATTTAGATGACAGAAGCCGATGGAATTTATTTATTAATTACATGTACAGGCTGCCCCACACCCTAAAGTATACTATACTCTAAGGTATAGTAGCCTGTTGGTGGTTTTCTTCTTGATGTATAGCTCGTGTTGATTGTGCTGTATTGAACTGAGCGGTCAGGCACTTTTGGGAAAATTTGCGTAGATATCCGTTTTGTTCTATTTTTATAGTAATTTATTCTTCTTGTGTACGTGTTTCTGTATTGTTTTATTCTTTTTAGCGCTGTAAGCCCCCCAGAATCGCTTAAAAACCATAGCAAAATCAGGTCTTACTGGAACTAATTGTGGTTTGTTCCATCAAACCTAGGTTTAGCATGTTATGTGAATGCAACAGGGGAGGGTGACACCTGCTTACCTGCCCAGCTGCAGGTGAACATAACCCCTTTGGAAGAAGCCCACAGCTAAGCAATTGTCTTTGGAAAGTGATTGATCAAAAGCCTAAAAGGAAAAAAAAAATAGAATAGCTAGTCAACACAATGAAAAAACCCAAATCGTTTTTCTGTTGCTTTTAATCATGTTTCGTCTTGGAGAAAAGAAATATACCACCAGAGGGGTTGATTATTCAGAAAATTTATGAATGTGCCGAGATGGATAAACTCACCTTAGAATTAAAAGAAAAAGATGATTCGGAATTTTATGCGGTTTGGGAAAATTGGTATAATTGGATAGACAATAGAAACAAAAATTGGAAATATACATAAGGTTATTGTGTAAATTAGGTTATTGTGGGTTAGATTGAATGTACATAGTGTATATATTGTATAGAATGTAGATCCATAGTATATAAAAATGACATAGCCTACTGAATATGTACTGTATAAAGCAAAATGTTAATAAAATATTATTTAAAAAAGAAAAAAGAAATAGAAAGCAGCAAAAAAAATAAAAAACGTTCCACTGTCATTTCTGCATCTCATGGGCCAAGGAACAGGACTCATCATAAAGAGCTGACTTACTCTAAAGACTTATTATTCTAAAGACTTATTATTCTAAAGAATAAGAGGGATACATCAAGATCGTGAGACGTGATCACACTTGATAGCATCAAGATTACAATATTTAACACTGCTCTAATGAAACCCACTTGGAAAAGCGCATCCAGTTCTGGTCACCACAATACGGAAAAGATGTTGCGTGACTCTAGAAAGAGTACAGAGAAGAGCAACAGAGATGATTAGGAGACTGGAGGCTAAACCTCATGATGAACCATTAAGGGAACTAGATATATCTAGTCTAATGGAGAGAAAGTTTAGGAGAGACATGATGGCTAGCTGGAGAGGTTGTCACAAAGAATTACGGACTGACTTATTATTTAATCCACCAGAGGGCAGGACCAGAAGCGATGGGTAAAAGCTTGTTAAAGAGAGATCCAATCTTAGAAATAAGGAGACATTTTCTGACAGTGGGAACAATTAATCAATGGAACCGTTTGTTGTGGCTTCTCCATCACTATTTCAAAAATAGACCGGACCACCCTTTGATCGGGATGGTATATAGCAGTGGTTCTCAACCTGTGGGTCGGGACCCCATTTGGGGTCGATCGACCATTTCATGGGGGTCGCCAAGCAAGGCTGTCCGCCATTTTTTTTGTCCGCCATTTTTCCCCCCCTTTTCCGGCGGGTGCCTTACCTCCCTTGGGCTGGGCCAGCTGGTGGTCGGCCTGCTCCGTCTCTGCCGCTTGCCAGCTACGCCTCGGCCGGCGCAGGGGGCGGAACCACGCATGTGCGGCGCTCCCGGACAGGGAAAGTCCTCGATTTATGACTGGTTGGGTAGTCCTCAACTTACGACCAGTTTAGTCCTCGACTTACAACCGGTTTAGTCCTCAACTTATGACCGGTTTAATCCTCGACTTACGATCGGTTGGGGTCGCAGCATTAAAAAGGTTGAGAACCACTGGTATATAGAGTCTCTTGCCTTGAGTAAGGGGGCTGGACTAGAAGTCCTTCAAGGTCCCTTCCAGCCTTATAATTCTATTTTTTTTTTCATGTGAGCTGGCCAAGCTCGGCAAAGTCTGACGTTCGAAAGCCGTGAATCAGAGGCTTCTGAAATGTCTGAAACTGAGAGGAAAAAAGCCTTGGGGTTAACTTGAGGGAGATTGTTTAGATTGCAGTTCTGGGAAGGACTCCATCAACTCTTTCAAAACTAGGGCACGGCTGGATGCCAAATCTTTTTGTGTGGGGGCCCATCGGCAAGAAGTCATTTCCACGGAGTTTGAGAAACTCTTTGCTGCATGGTGTCTTTTGTCGGCTGGAAAGCGGGGCGCTTCTGAGCATGGACAAAGTGCCTTTGGGAGGGCTCCAGCTGAGTGGGAGAGTGTTTATTTTCCACGCTGTCTCTCTTTCTACATTCCTACGCTAGGTTTATATCTGAACCAAACAGAGAGGGTGTTTCCGTTAGGAATTCTACCAGTTATTGCAACACAGCCATTTTTCTCTGCACTGCAATTCAGAATAAAAAATAAGTTTAAAAACTGCTCGGGGAGGGAGAGGCAACCTAAAAATTGATAGGAAAGAAATGTCTTTATTAGCCTAAGCAAACGTTTACAAAATCAGGGGTTGTTTTTTTTTTAGTCTCCACCAACCATTCAGCAATCAAGGGAGCTTAAACATCCCAGAACACCAAGCAGAAGAGAAACAGATATTAGCGGTGCCTAAATCATAGGTGACACAGATTGTCTTCCTGGAGTGTAAATCATAACCGAAGCCCTTGCAAAATCAAACTGTTGAGCAAGTCACAATTAAATGGATCACTCATCACCGCAAACCATCATGCAGGGGTCACGAACCAGATCAGCTCAAGCCAAGCAAATGACATTGAGGCTTAATGTGATTCATGAACTAAGTTGTCTGGATTTTATTCAAGAAAGCGCTGCCAGAAAAATAATGGAATACCTAAATGTTAACTTTTTTGGGGGTTCCTTTGAGAATGCAACCCTCAGCTCAAGCTTAAATAGAATTTGGTAATTTGGAATATACCCTGTGTTGGGAGCAAACCACTGCATTTTATTAACCAGACTTTGGGGTTTAGCCTACGACGGTGCCAGCACTGTAGATATTTGGGATTAAACTTTCTCTCTCTCTCTCTTTTTTTTTTTTTTTGCAAAAAAAAAAGGGCAAAGTCCATTAACTTTGTGCTAAGAAAAAAGGGACGTTGTTTGTGCTTTTAAAATTAGATTTTAAAAGGAGAGAGGGCAAATAATGTTTCCTTGATATGGAGCGCTTGACTTGAAGGACCACAGTGGTAACTCTTTCTTTTCTCGCCTTGTGATTTTTTCTGTGAAGACCTTTTCCTTCTTCGTGATACGATAACTTGAATTTCTAAAAAGAAAAAGGAACTTCCAACACTGGAGGTTTTTAAGAAGATTCTGGACAACCATTTGTCTGAAATGGTGTAGGGTTTCCTGCCTGAGCAGGGGGGGCTGGACTAGAAGACCTCCAAAGTCCCTTCCAACTCATTATTATTATTATTATTATTATTATTATTATTATTATTATTATTATTATTATTATTATTATTATTATTATTATTATTATTATTATTATTATCAGCGGAAATGTGATTGTAAGTCAAGGACTGCCTATAGGGCTCTAAGAATGAAGTTGGGTCGGATCCTACAATGGTTGAGACAGTTTCTTGTCTTACCTCCAGGGCTTGATCCAGGTTTCCTTGCAGGAGATGCAGACAGCCAACGTTGAAGTCTATCTTGGAAGGAGGATTCTTGATGCCCTGAAAGATGTCCAAGGCAGTGGCAAGATTGCCTTTCTCAAGGGCTAGGACACCTTGGTTCCAGTCTCTTACAAGCTCTTGATAAGCCATCAGTCTTGCATTCTAAGAGCCGTTGATCTTCACGCCAGAGAGTTGATTCCAGTCTTTGTTCTGCTGGATTTGGCTTTTAGAATGAAGCGAACCAGGAAGTTGAGTATCTTTTTTTTGCTCACCTGCAAGGAAGTGCAGTGGGAAAGGAGGGCGAGTCCTCCAAGATAATCTACCAAGGATTACTGAGGGTTGCTATGATCCAGATAGGCACTAGGTGGCACCAGAGGGACACAGAAATCTCTCTGTCGCCATCTAGTGACCGTTCTTGAGGTTTTGCGGCCAAATTCAGCTGGACTTAGGTGGGGCTTATTAAGTTCAAGAAGCCCCGGTCTCAGCTAGTTATTTTTATTTCTATCTCGCCTTTATTATTATTAATTTTTTTTTACAAATAACTCAAAGCAGTGAACATATCCGAACACACTTTCCTCATCCTGTTCCTTCCACAATAACCACCCTGTGAGGTGGGCTGGATTGGGAAAGCGGGGCAGGTCCAAAGTCACCCAGCTGGCTTTCAAAGCTAAGTTTGGACTTGAACTCATGGTCTCCTCTGTTCTCAGAGTAGGTCCATCTAGGTGTGCACAGAGGCCAAATCTCTTACATTTAACCGATTCCACACATTACCATTGGCAAATCCGTGGGAAAGCCAGTTCAATTCGCCCCGCCACGTCCCAAATCTCATTCTAGAGCTCAGAAAAAACAGATATATTGGTAAACAATCCCCAAGAATTGACTCCAGCTCTGTCATAGCTGAAGGAAGTGCGTGCAAAAATGGAAACAGATAGAAGGAACAGGCAGGGTGAGAAAAACCAACAGACTTTATTGGTCATTTGTCAACGTATAAAAATTCTCATCAGAATAAAGAACAGCTTCCTCTAAGCAACAGTGTGATTACGGAGGAATTCCTGGTTAAATTCATATATTATACTATGTACACATCTGAATGCCATTTCTAAATACAAAATGTACAGGGCTAAAAGAGCCAAATTACATAAAAATGGTGGGTTAGCAAAAATAGAATAGAAAAGGAAGAAAAAAAAATGTGTGGTTTTTTTCCCCCCCAGGGAATCCTATGTGCTCTGCGACAAAGTGGTTATATATCCACAGTTTTCAAACTTCAAGTAACGTGGAAAGACAATCTCCCACCCTCAAAAGGAAGAGAAATTAGTCAAAGGTGAGGGGGGCATAATTATTGCTTTTAATTATTATTTTTTTAGACATTTTGATCGATTGATTGTTGCTAAGAGAGGCACAGAAAGGTTTTTAGAAATGGCCATCTATTTTTTTTTAAAAAATAGCCCCGGTTTGATCCTGCATCCTTTGCATTTTTTTAAAAAAAAAATACAAAATATCTTTCGTATGTTTTGTTTTTTTTAAAAAATACAAAATATCTTTGGTATATTTTTTAAAAAAATACAAAAGTTCCACGCAGAAAAACCGGTAAGTGGGACTCTCTCTGGCATTCATCTGGTCTTGAAGACAGAGGAACAAAGAGTTAGCAAATATTGATCTATTGTGCTCCGAACCATGCTGGGGAATGTTTGCTAACTGCCAAGGAAATGTTGAAAAGCCAGGGGTTTTTTTTGGGGAGTTACTGTATGGGAGCATGGCTTATTGAAGCAAACAGGCAAGGGGACCAAAAAGTTGGAGGTGAGGGGAGACCCTAACCCCACCAGTTCTCCATAGGACAGTGGTTGGAATGATGTGTAGACCAGGTATACATAATTGACAATTAATGCACTAAAGTCAACAGCCAAGCAGAGGTAATAACATTCCCTTAAATATCGGGTGTACACCAAGTCTCCTTCCAGATGTTCTTCTCAACTACAATCCCCAGCAGGCCTAGCGGGAGCAACAACAGTGAAGAATCCTGGGACTTCTGCAGCAGCATCTGGAGGACCACAAGCCCTCCCTTTCTGCTGAAACCAACTCTGATGGCCAACGTATGAGTTTGGACAGATGGATTGAGGGTTCCTTCAGGCAGAGCTCGTTAGGGGAGCCCAACAATTGTGTCCTGGGGACCCAGGTTCCATGGAGAGTTGGAACCTATCAATGATTGGTGTCTGGTGAGCCCATCTTAAGTTCTCAGCCAGCTTGGCCTTCGTGCGAGACATTCCCTTTCTCGATTCTATGAATTCCAGTTATCCCCAAATTCCCGGCTCTCTGAATAGATCATACAAGGTGACTTGCCACCAACAACACTCTTACAAAGGAGAAGCTATATCTGTAAATAACCACTGTTTCTGTCTCTTCCAGTCATGGAGATGTATCCCCAGCCAAATACAGCAAGATCAGCTGTCCTTCCATGGTCAACACAATTGATGCAATGGAAATGTTCCTTCTGTTGTGTAGGGAAGAAGTTGCTGGGTTACTCCTTCACTGATTATATGCCAGTCTAGGACACCAGCAGGCCATGTCTACCACTTGGGGTGGTCTTCAGGGAAATGGGGCGCATGTGACCTATAAGAAGAGGCCGTTGGGGCTACCGAAGAGAGAAGATCAAGTCTTCTTCTCCAATATCAAGTTCCTCAAACTAATTTGCATCCCTGTGGTATTAAGGTATTAAGGCAGAAGATAAAAGTCTTCTTTATTATCGAGTTCCCCATACTAATTTGCATTTCCTTGATATTAATTTAAAAAGAGAGCAAGAACCGAACTATTTGAATAAGGCTTGGCACTTTAGTAAAAGCTTTTAAGTCAAGGGTGCTACTGGTTTCACAGACACGTCCAGGTAGTTCGTGTCATTCAATGTACACCAGGTGGTTTCCCAGCCATGTTTGCATTTTCCACATCAGCCAGGGTGAAGAGCGTTGATGATTAAACTGTTTAAAGAGTTCTTTTTCTCTTCCCCAAGCTGAAAATCATAATTCTGGAAGACAATGTTTACAAAAAGGTCTCCAGGAAAGACCTTTCTTCTTCTTCTTCTTCTTCCTCCTCCTCAAAAAAATCAGTCCGGTTGCCTTTTCCAAAATAACTTTTCATTCGTCTCCACCAAAGAATTCTCCACATTTCCCCCCCAAATGCCAATTCCAGGATTGGCCTGGGAAAATGGAGTTACTTACCAAACTGTTTTGCTCTAGATTTGCTCCGTTATTGTTTTGTGTAATTAACAATGACCTTAAGCACCACACACACACAAAAATAAACCAAGTTGTAACAACGATCCAACTTGCTACGCATTAATTTGAAACCATGGGCTGATTAAAAAGTGGACAGTTTGCAGGATAGACCCTACTGCCAAATTGTGCCAAATGTGATATTTTTTTTTCTACAAATGTGGATCCTTTTGAGAGGTAAACATTCAGGGCATTTGAGTGTTCTTGTTCTTCTGCCAACTCTGCCTTCTCCAAGATCTTTCTCAAGATCCCACCCACCACAAAACTCCAAATTTTCAAGCTTAAATCCTTGTGGGCTAGAAACCTAGTTGGCTAATTTTCAAACGTAAAAATGAAAGCAGCAGATGTTTAAGAGGTTTAAAATAAAGAAGGAATGGAAGGCTGGATGGAAATGAAATTGAGATGTACTAAGGTGGGCTTCTTTGGTATCTTGACAGATTTCAAATTTCAGCGTGCTCTAAATCTCAGACCCTTCGGGCTACAACAGATCCATTTTATCTTGACATTAATCACACTGGCGGCTAATCCTTCCTCTACAGTCATGCCAGCCCCCTAAAGTAAATCCTTTCCATTTGTTGCTATCTATCTAGAAGGACTTCTTATCAACCTTGACGTTCATTTTTGTTTTGTTCTTCATAAAAGTAGTAAATCCAGTGTGGGAAACTTCACACGTCTCTCCTTTGGGTGAATCTGCAGTCACAACGATCCATCGGCTCCCCAAGGATAGTAGAAAGGATAGTAGCTGGTGGCTCAACAGAAAACAGGGCTTGTCCCACAGGATGCACCGAACGTGGTTTTCAGGAAAGGTGGACAGATGTCCCAAGAAATGGAACATTATTTGTTTTCCATTTTGGAGAGAGTGAATTCTGCTGATAGCTAGCAAGGAGGAACAAAGCAGAGGCAAAAGATCCTCTCCATATTTCAAGGAAAAGAGGCAAAACCATTCCATGAGATGTTAGCTTCTCAGCCCTCTGGAACTCTGAATCATGGCTGAGAAAAGCATCAGCTTCCAAGATGCCCCCATGGAGAGGATGTTACAAAACATGGATTCCTCTCACCAAGGTGATGTAGTCACCTCAACTTTGGGCCATGCTTCTTCTCAGGATGGCCCCCAACCTCATGAGAAAGAGGACCCATCAGGCCACCTCTTGAAGAAATCTCAAGAAGGACACCTTCAGCGGTTACTTTGGGGGTTCGTCTGACTCCACCTGGACTTGTCCACAGGAAAGAAGGAGTCAAACAGACCCTTGAGAACCTTTGGCCCAACTGCGGTGGTCTTTCGACAGGCCTTGTGACCTCATATCGTTCCGATACTTCCGTCCATTTGTTCAATGAGAAACAGATGGGTTGCTTCAAAGGTGGGGCGGTCTTTGATATCCCGGCTCCAGCATTTCATCATCAATGAAAAGACAGGATTTGAACACAGAGGCGGCTGGGACAAGTAAGCCTGAGGACCAGAAAAGCAGAAGGATGTCACAGAGGGATTTTTGGAGTCATTTGACATCCTTCCCCTCCCCCCCATAGAATAATAGGGTTGGAAGGGACCTTGGAGGTCTTCTAGTCCAACCCCCTGCCTGAGCAGGAGAACCTATACCATCCTGGACAAATGGCTGTCCAGTCTATTCTTGCAGGAATGGAGGCACCCACAAATTCCAGAGGTAAGCCATTCCACTGATTAATTATTCCCACTGCCTATTTTTAATTTATTTCAGAAAGGCCGTTCACAACCACTTAGGTGGGCCTCAAAAGCTAGGGAATCTAATGCTAGTGATCATGCTTAGGGTTATGTCCCTTCCCCCCCCAGTAAAATCTTCAACCAATCTTCAACAATCCCATGGGACGAGGCTGTACAGAACATGCCTTAACTGACCAGTTAAAAAATAGCAATAGCACTAGAGTGTTTTACAGCACTCTCAAAGTCACTTTTGAAAGGATGGGAGGCTGAGTCAACCTCGAATCGGTCAGGATTGAACTCCAGGCGGTGGGCAGAGTCAGCCTGCAGTACCGCATTCTAACCATGTGACGCCACCATGGTTCAAAAAAACCTTGGAAATGGCCATGAGGACAGAGACTGCTAGTCTGGTTAGAAGGTGAGAGAACATAGCAGTCAGTTTTGGCCAGCTCTTCGTCTTTTTCAACAAGCCAGGAAGACCCAACATAATTAACTGATTTGGGGTATTCTACCTGTCGGCCTTGATCTCG